GGGGGGGGGGGGGGGGGGGAGGGGGGGGGGGGGGGGGCGAGGGAGGGTGGTTGGAGGTGGAAGGGGAGGAGGGTGTAGCGAAAGACGCTTTTTAGTTTGATGCCCTCAATGAGCCAAATAGTGTCGCTAGCGACGTCGTTAACCGGAATCTTCCTCTTTTCGGCGATAGGCATACGTTCAGCTTTATTGACTTTGTTTTATCGCGTCTGGGGACGCTCGAGGTATCTAAAGGCTCTGAAAGGGGATCAGCCCGTCGTTATGAAGGGTTATGAGGGGGAAGGGGTCGAAGGACCGTCGTCAAATTTTTTCTCCTTCTCTGCTTGAAGCGTTCGCCGCGGCCCTGCTGCTCGCCGGCCCGCGATCGTTCGAGCGGAATCATCGTGGGACTCTTAGTCTCGAAGATGACCGCCCGATGCGTCGTTGCGTGCCCTAACCCCCTTCGGTTAGGTAACTTCGTTTGAGTAACTTCGGTTAGGTAACTTCGTTTGAGTAATTTCGTTTAGGCAACTTCGGCTGAGTAACTTCGGTTTGGTCAGCTCTCCTGTCGTCTACGAACGCTTCTGCTTTCTCGTACTTTTTCTTGCGGTTAATCAGCGATGGAGAATGATCCAGTTAGGCCGTTGAGAGAAGATTTCCTGGGAATGACGTCATCGGTCCCTCCCAGGGAAATCATCCGGCGCAGAAGAATCGACGTTGATTGGCATGAAATCAATTTTTTTGTTGTCTTTTCGCGTGCTTTTCTTCGTTGCACCTAGAATATCGGGTCGGAGGGAGGAGAAAATGCGAAAAATATTTTTTTTTTTTGGAACTCGGGGATTCACTCGAGATCCAGGTCATGAATTCACTCGCGAGGGGGGCGCGATATTTGCCCCGCGAAAAAGACGGTCGGAAATGAGGGGCATGGCATGCTAATGGGAAAGTTGACTCCTGTAAAAAAAACGCCCCAAAATTGAAGAAAAATGCATTTGCCGTTGGCCCCGCGTGTTCCAAGCACTCTGACTTTTCAGATTCCAGACGTTGCAAGACGTGAAATATCTTCGAGGGTTCGGAAAGTAGATTACGGCACGGTTACGGCATGGTTACAGCGCGGTTACAGCGCGGTTACTGAATTTCTATTGCAGTACGAAGTTTAACGTAAAGATCCAGCACGATTTCCGACTCCGACGGCGAATTTAAAAAACGCGAGCGACGTTCGCTCTCCGACAAACTCAGAACCCTCGACTCAACGATGAAACGTTGAAATTTGATGAAACGTTGAGAAAACGATGAAAATGAAATCTTCGACTTCAATTCTGCAGGAGAAGGCGGAGTACGTGTTCCTCGTGATCTTCACGATCGAGTGCATCATGAAGATCATCGCCTGCGGGTTCGTCGCCCACCAGGGCGCCTACCTCCGCAACGGGTGGAACCTCCTCGACTTCACCATCGTCTTCATCGGGTAGGCCGAGCCCCGAATCTCGCACCGAATGTTGCACCGAATCTCGCGCCGAGTCCGCGTTTCTCACGATGCCCTTCCCCCCCGCAGGATCATCAGCACGTTCCTGTCGGTAGTGGACCAGGAGGGGGAGAGCTTCGACGTGAAGGCGCTGCGGGCCTTCCGCGTCTTGAGGCCGCTTCGCCTCGTCTCCGGAGTTCCCAGTCCGTTTTTTCCTTATTTTTTCTTCTCTTTCAATCCAATAAAAAAAAAATTTCATTCATTTCAGGCTTCCCAAAAACGCCATAGAATGGGCGTCTGCCGGGAAAAATGGCAGCACTAGTAGAAGAGTTGTCCAAATCCTCGCTTCTCATGTCTGGAGAATTTTATTTTAAATTATTATGAGTATTAACGTATAAGTATTTCAGGCGTCATTGAGATGGAAAATGGATACATTTGGACAAGGGAAAGAGTTTGAGGGTCGAGGACCTAATTTGGTTCCAATTTTCATGATTCCAGCAATTCTCGCGAACGATCGAAATGCATTTTTTTTTTAGGGATTCGATTTCGACCTGAACTCTGAAAGAGTTACAGCCTGCCCTTTAATTTGATACTAAAGGACACGTATCGCCTTCAGGTCTTCAGGTGGTGCTGAACTCGATCATCCGCGCCATGGTGCCTTTGCTTCACATCGCTCTCCTCGTCCTCTTTGTGATCATCATCTATGCAATCATCGGTCTCGAGTTATTCAGCGGGATCCTCCATCAAACCTGCTTTCGCAACGAAACCGGTGAGAAAAAACGGCGGGAAGAGGAAAGAACTGCGTTGAACTCAACGTGCTGGAGATTCCCCCCCCCC